GTAGTTTCACGCCTGCGTTCCATGAAATAAAATGCTATTTTCATTACTCTAACTGATAACAAGGCAATGAATTTAACCTAATGGATTATTCTCAGTTTGTTTTAAAATGAAACATTCATGGAACAGTCATGGTAGTCCCTTGCTTAATTGCTTGTTTCATGATTTTGTACGACCGAATAAACTGGGGGGTCGGTAGAAGATGACGTGGTTGCTGTACGTACCCATGGTTAAATAACAATACATTTCATGTTGGTCACAAATTTACCACTCCTGATTTCAAAAATGGAACTCAGGGTTATTCCCGGGTCAACGTGGATCTTTGAACTTTGAATTTAGACTAGACTACCGACCATGATTTCTTGTTACGACATGATATTACGCTAAGTCTGAGCTACTTTAAGGATGATGTATCACGCTGACGATAGCGCGAGCAAATCGTGAGGAACCCCATCGTTGTCAAATAAACAGCGCCAACAACATTCCACTGAAGTTTTGGAGCCAAAACACCTTTGCAATGACTCCGGCACTCCGATGAACTGCTTTCAATCTGTGCTATTGCAAAAAAAGTTTTTTTTAGCTTACAACGTGTACTGACGGAGGAATATGTTTCGTGTAAGCTTTTATGAAAGCTTAAATTTGGCTTTCGTTGTGTAACGTCAGAGTTGATGGCGTTAGAGTACTTGAATTGGCTACTTTGAAAAAAGATAAAACAGTTTCGTCATCTTCACAGTTGAAGAAAAGGGGTGAAAACCACACATTACAGGATACGTCAGCAACAATATTTGTAGATTTCCATTAGTGATTAATGAGGAGTAAATTTACAGAATTGCTTAAATCCATGAAATGAGGTGGACTCCCTTTTCGGAGCAACAGTAAAACGAGAAACCGAAACTGTATCATTTGAAGCGTGAAAGCTATTATTTATTGGGAAACGTTGTGCGCCTGAACATCATTTGTCATCGTGTCATTTCCAACAAACAGTAATTATCTAAATATCGATGCACAGTTGTATGGTTTCCACAAACTTTTCTTAGAGTAATTGTCTTTTTATATCAAAGAAGATTCATGAGTCACTCGAACTCTATGAGGTACTCGTCAACTTGAAAAACTTCAGCTTATTGAAGATTCCATCCAGCTTGGTGCAGCACACTGTCTGTTAGCAGAAAAGGTACTTTTCCGTTATCCGTACCCATTTAAAGAAAAATATTGTTTCTATCCTTGCACCATATCTTGTCCCAGCCTCACAGGAAACAGTGGCCCGTAGTAAACCCCCATCAGGGCATCTCTCTTGAGGCGGACCGGAGTTGATCTCATCGCGCCTCAGCACATTGCCAGGGGAGCGATTGATTTCGAGCAGATCACCTACTGGACGATCGCGTTTTTAACGATGGAACGTTTCTACCATTTGTGCATTACTAGTCGAATGGATAAGACTAATGCATTTCAAGCGGCAGAGCCGTGGTTCGAGCGCGGCAGAACAATTTTTGCTGTTTGGCCTGGCGATCTTTGATAGCGGCTGCTGTCGAAAAAATCGATGATAGCCGCTATCAGAGATTTCACTTAGCGAACAACGAGATAAAACAAATACGCAGTATTTTGGAAGAATACAGGAAAAATCACACTTGGCGAAGAATGAGTAGAAAAGTAAATTTACCCTCTTGTTATCTAAAGCGGTATTTTCAAGAAAAACAAGCAACAACTGCAAGAAAAAAAGCAAAAAACCTTTTTTTACCAATTTCGTCGCGCAATCAGCTGTTCGTCGATCCTCACTCACTTAGGCGGCGGAAATTGTGCAGTTTTGGGAGTTTTGCACCACAAAAGAACGTCAGCTGCGGTGTTTCGTAAGTTACTCGGGAGCAACTTACGGGACTTTTCTCTGTTCTCCTCTTTAGCACAGTGTTTACCTTATGTCGTCGCCCGGCTCATCTCCGATGACTCGGTCGGGGGCTGATCGCCCTGCCGGGATTCATCTGAAGCTCGCCTGTAGGGTGACCTTGCATACTTACACCACGGAAAAGTGGGCAGTCCTCATCTCACCCGACAAAGCCTCATATGAGCCTCATAAGCTCGGTCACGGGAGATCATCTCCCGTGACCGAGCTTTACTACGGTCCAGTGTCAACCTTTCGCCACGTGTCAAAAAAATTTGACATGTCGGGTGTCTTAAACGTGTCTTAAATGTCATCTACATGTTTGACAGGTTTTACTAAGAGCTTGTGTTACCCTACGAAGCGATGTAGCTTCAATCTGTTTTTTAGTTGGTTTTGACTTTATTTCGATCAAACAGTTTCAAAATGAACATTGTCGTAATAATGACGATGTACTGTCATCGATGAAGACTCTAGCTTGCTCGGAACAGAGAAATTCGCTAGGATTCCGTCATTTAAGAGGCGAAATAAGCAGCAGCAAAGCACTTTAAGCTATCATCTGTAGCCTTTTCTTGCTAAATTCGCATGGTCAAAAGGCTTTGAAGAGAAAGACATTTTTGATCATTGCTGAAAGCAAGCAGGATGCTCTAAAATAAGTTCGTGATCGTTTTTCTCTTATGTAAAACAGTCGAACAGCTTCAAAATGATCACAAATTCTCCGTTATCTCACCTGAAATGATTTCGAAAAGAACATGTCAAAATGAACCAAAGACATGTCAATTTTTTCGTGACACGTGGCAAGGAGGTAGCCATCATAGAACCTACGAAAAATTATACTTTGACTAAAAAAACATGTAAAATGAGAGGCTTTTGAAAAAATGGGTCTGGATAACGGGAAAGTACCGCAGAAACATTAACGTAATTATATCACGGACCACGGAAACGAGGAAGCGAGCACAGCGCACGCTAGGAGAGGGAACATGGCTTATTACCTTGTTTGATCGATAGCAAAGTAGAAGAAGTCTAATTTCAAAAGTTTCCGAACAGTGAAAATAAAAGTTGGAACATCAGAACTTGCTGGAACTTTCCTGGGCTAGTGTGAAGCTAAGCACGAACGTTATATCCTGCTGTCACCTCGAGAAATTATACTTCGGTTTGCCGTAACATTAAAGAAGGTCTTCCACGCGAAATAGGATATCATTTTTGTGATATGTCGAATAATCAGCTCAGACCAAGAGCCAAGATTTGTGACAGATTTTTGTTCATAAATTGCCCACGTTCTGCTTTCCGTATCTCGCGACGTCAGAATTTAGCAGACGATTCCTGCATAAGTAGCGTGAAACAAAGTCTATTGGATATCAAGGGATGATTGCGTCATGTTCAAAAAGAAAACTTATGGGAAAAGTTGCAAAACTCAGTATCCAACTTATCGATTTTCGGAAAAGCTGGTAAATGTGTTATTAATGGAAGCGATTTCAACCAGGATTCGACAATAATTATAGTAATTTTACTATGAACAAAAAAGCTATCGCCATGCATCCCTTCAAACATTTCACAGTGCAACTTTTTGCTCTTTTGTGCTCTTCCAAAAGCGGCATCATGCTGTCAACTCCGCTTCTCTCAAGGATATGGGGTCATAAGCAATTGTATTTGTGTGCGGAACTTGCTCATAACGTCATCGCAGCAAATATCACTCGGAAATAGTGCCATGAATCATCGTCGACGATGCTCGTTAACGACGGTAAACGTCGGCTGTTGCGGCGATTCGAGCGCCCCAGCGGCTTCACTACACGCCGCGGGTTACGGTAACGCGACGAGAGCGGGGCGCCCATTCTCAGACTCGCATCTATCGTAATCGGCACGGCACATGATTCTTTATTGTTAGATTTTGCACATCAAGAGTTCACCAACCGCTTACCCGACCCTAATGACTGTAGTACTTTTGCGAGCTGGAACAGTGCACTTCGAGCGAATGTGAATGTTTGCTTTGACAGAGTGAGAGGGAGTGGGTTCGATAAAAATCAAATGTTGGTATGTCTAATCAGTGTTGATACGCTCGAGTTGAATCCGTGTGTTGACTCAGTTTGCTTTCAGCATGGTGAACCTCTCATATCTTGCATAGTTCCAGCTTGTTTGCAATGCTTACTCTCCAAATATAGTATAGTTTGTAAATGATGCAAAGGCGAGACGCTTTTGCAAATTTAAAATTAAAGATCTCTTCAAGACAGCTGCAAGATGCTTCTTTTATTGAGTAGTCACATAATTTTGTTACGCCCAACGAAAAGATCTTTAGAACTTTCTCCAAAATTTTTTCACCTTTAAAACACGTCGAATGTGCTAGATTTCGATACAGTTTGAAAAAGTTCCGTTATGTTTAGTAAGTTTCCAGTTTGTATTAACGAAGTTAGAACTTCCAAACTCCTGCATATTAGTGTTGGTTGTTCTCGCCTGTAAAATCAAAAAATAGAATAAGAATGAGAAATTTTTCATAAGATAGAGAAAAAATGGGTGTTGAAGTGCCGTTAGACAATTTCATTTATATTTATTGTAATTCATGTGCGTGATAGCGAGTATGATGTTAATGGATAGCCCTCCACCCCTTCTCCATATGGGCAGATTGGGGAATTGCCCAAAATTTCTGGAGTTTTGATGAAGAAAGAAATTATAACAAAGCTCATGTGACGACCAGCTGGCTGCACCTTGATCATGGCAAATCATTCATTCATTGCATCATAGAACAAATTAAAATAAACCAAGAGCTTACCCTCTTCATCCTACAACTTGCGCAGCTGTAATTTTGCAAAAAAATATCACAAACCATTTTATGAGTAATCTAGAAACCTCCCTTTCTAATGTGTTAAAATTAGCAACAAAATCGACCACTTTGATTACTGTAGGTAACATTCTCGGTACGACTCATCACAAAGATACCACGTTTGTTTGTCACCCATTTGTAACTCCTTGCCATTGCCAGTCTCCTAATGTTTTTCAGTGGAGCATTCCATTGATGTTCTTGAGAAAAATCACTTTTCTATCTCTTCTGCAGGCTTCGGAACTTTTTTCTGCTTAAATTGTTAACTTATTATTCATTCACATGCTCACATGTACCGATAATTGTCTATCATGTGTTCAGATGTCACTGGACAAAATTCTTGGCCCCCCACCTGCACTTTATACGGCACTTATCGGTGGCCCAATTCCGGATTGTCTGATATCAATTAATGGAGCTACGCCAATTGCGGGCAATGAAGAACGCCTCCGCAAAGCAAGCCCACTACTAGCGTCATTGTTAGCTGATGAAACTTTCAAGGCAAGAAATTTTTCGGTAGAAATTTGGGGGAGGGGGGAGTATTTCTACAGTAACCCAAGTGCGGTAGAAGTACAGTATATTTCATCCTGTATTTGCACCAGCTGTAAATCTGCAAAAAAACATAAACAATGTTGATGTGTTGCCTGTGAAACATTCACTGCCTTGTAATCTAAAAATAGAGATATAATAGAAATAGAAACGTCAGGCAGTACATTCCTTTACAGTATTCCCACAATAATCCAAGTGCACTAGAATTGATTTTTATCTCTCCTGCATTTACACAGTTGCAGTTTTGCAAAACAAATCATGAACATTGGTTCCAATAAAAGTTAAAGGTCATTGATGGTAGCTTTTGCAATTACACCTTTACAGTTCTCTTACAGTAACTCAAGTACCGTAGGAGTGATTTCATTTATTAAGGTGATCCAAACGAAATTTCATAACTTTGTAAAGCAAAGCATTTAGTACGTGAGCTCGCTAAATTTCTCATTATGACTGTACCAAGAAAAATTTGAAGAATTTGATTCCAAGACAGAAGAAAAAGTCCCTCTACCCTCTAAAATGGCAACATTCGTGACAGTTATTTGTGAGGCGGAAGAGGCCACGTCCCGTGATCTCGGAATTTCTTCTGATAAGGCGTACAGGTGCCATCGCTAAGAATTGCTTTCATCGGCGACTTTCACTGTCATAAAAGACCCACTCTTAAGAGATGGAAGGACTGATTACTGATAACCATCATCACTTCTTTTTCCCATGATTTCTGGCAATGTCACCTGCTAAGCTGTGCTGGATAATTTTCTGTACTGTTTAGGAAACTCGACTTCTACAGCTGTATCTAACTTCTGCTAACGCTGAATTGGCTTTCAATAAGATTATGGCTTATTTGAGTACTGGAAATTTTGAGTTGGATGGATGTACAAGGGATCAGGTATTATAATTTTTTTGAATTTTTATATTTTTTGTAAATTTATGACTCATTTAGATTCTCTCCGTCGCAGACGAATGTCAGATACATGCTCTGCAAGAAAGATTCCGAGAAAGTTTACCTGCTCCACAGCCAAAACTTGGTAAACGCCCACTTATTCATTTTTTTTTCTCACTCATATCCATAATCGTCCATTCAGCTCCTCAGATGGCGTCGATGTCCCTCCCACCACATCTCCCCTCACCAGTCCCTATATTCTCACCTGTTCCCAATCCATTCCTTCTGCTGAATCTACAAAATTTACAATCACAGCTTCAGGCTGCGAATTTTTTCCAGGTAAGGTCTTCTACACATACCAATTTTTCTAGTGTTTTATAAAGGTAAGGGAATTATTTAGATGTTCATGTCGCAATTGCACCCTGTGTCACAAAATCACGAGCCTATTGATGTCACTCCGAAAAAACGAAGAGCTCAAGCTGATGTCAGAGAGTTGAAGAAAGCTCATTCGCTTGATAGCAATGAAGAACCCTTTGACAATCTGGGTGATGTAATTATCCCCAGTACGGACAAAGAAGGTAAAAAATTTTAGCTTTTTGAAATTTCTTGCTCACTGCCAAAAATCTTTTCTTTCCAGGCTGGTGTCGTAATAAGAAATACATCGAAAAGACAGAAGCCGGCTTTATGTGTATAGTATGTAAAAAGATTTATGGACGTTATAATTCGGTCTCATATCATGTGACGATTTATCACCGAAACCCTCCCATTAAGTGAGTTTTTCGACGTCACGGTCACTGATATAGAAAGCTGTGACCTCACTGCTCCGAATATCATTGATTGGTCACAGTACAATGTTTTGGCACACTTCCAAGTCATAAGATTTGCTTTTAAATTATAAGATTTGACGTTGGAAGCAAGACAACAGAAATTAGAAAGATATAGAAGAACTAGAACTCAAAGAAAGTGAAAAAGAAACTATTTTTAGCTGCTAAAAAGTTTTCTTCAAGGGACAATTAGATTTATGATTTATGCGATTATTCAACCAATAGTAACTTTATTTGAAAAAAGCGAGCGCATTCAATTAATGCGATAGTTATCCATTTGTTTCGAGCACAAGTTTATGGATTACGGTAGGATGTTGCACACGTTATCGACATCGTAATCTCAGGAGAACATGAGCAACCTACTGCGTCGCATATCCTTGGAATCTTGCAGTTCCTAGGACCATAATAATATCCTGATTCATTGAGCTGAGAAAAAAACCAGTCCTTTTCTGCGAAAATAGAAAAATATGTAAGCTATGGGACACACCCTTTGTTATCAGTGCATTAAGACAAAAACTGAATTCAGAGACATAGTTATCATAAGGGGTGTTGTTTTCCAGAGAATTCCAGAATTATCAGAATTATCTGTCAGCAAATCACTCCACCCGAAAGATAATCGCAGTGGTGTTGCTTTTTAAAGAATTCCAGAATTATCAGAATTATCTTTCAGCAATTCTCACTCCACCCGAAAGATTTCATCACTCACGAGATAAACACTGACAGTTTTTTTTCTTTCCTGCTAATGGGTGCGGTCCCGAAGATCCTGTTTTTTGATAGAACTGCTTGCAACTGATATGAAGATGATATTCAGCTACATTGTAGCCCAACTTCTCCCTCCCCCCCCCTCCTCCCCCTTAATTGCTGTCCAAATTACTGTATCCGCCTCTTATATAAGTTCTGTTAACATCAAAAAAAGCTTTACAACTTTCTCAATTATTTCCTTATCAAATTACGTGAAGAGCTGTGGATTTTTGACGTGAATATGTCACAATGAGAAAATCGATTTTTGAGTTTTTCAAGATTTTTATGAACCATTCTTGGCAAATCTCCAACTTGCATTATCGAAAAGCTTGGGCTTCCGAACTGCCTTCGTATAACTATTGGTGCTCTCAGAACCAAGAAAAATATGAAAAGATGAAAAGGAATTTCTAGAAAATAAAGAAAAATGGAAGTTCAAGTACGGTTATAAAGTTGCCTTTATATTTATAGTAAATCTCGCCGTAGAGCCAAAAACGATGCCGATGAGTAGCTTCGTCCCTTTCCCATACATGCCAATTATGGGACTTAGTAAAATTTTCTGTTTTCCAGAGGAAGACGAAGAAAGTGTAAAATTTTGAAATCAATGAGTTTTTGCAGATGTGATCTACCAGGATGTCAATTCACAACTAGAGAAGCTCGCTACATCCATTTTCACAAGTACTATCGTCACGGAATTGCGCTACCTCAAAGTATTGATCAAGGTGAGGGACCATTAAAAAAACACCAATCTTAGTTTTTTTTACATTCCACAACTGCCATATAAGGATTACATAGGAAGGTAGACATCTACTAGCAGTAGCGGACCTGAGGGGGGGGGGAAGAGTGCAGTCAAGAACTTTGCAAGGTACTTGCATGAATTACAGAAATGTGCAATGAAGCTTGTAAATTATCTAGATAGGATTCAAATTTTTGAAAATTCTAGATAGCCATGATAAAGTTCATGGGCTTGTTGCCATTTCGGGGTTTCGCATTTGCGAAAATTTTGGAAGCATCTCAAAATTTTTTTAGATGGTTAAGGCCAAGCATGTTCTCGAAAGACATTTTTGCCCATCCCCCCCCCCCCTCCACTCCCGAACTGATTTCCTGGGAGAGCCAGTGGCTAGAAGATATGGTTTAATTTCCCCAAAATTGTTTGTATTTCAGGATCAAGAAGATGCCCACACTGCAGACATGTTTCCAAAAGTCCGGCGATGTTAGAAAAGCATATAAGAAGACATCAGATCGTCAAAAGTGAAAAGTAAGTAGAAACCTTTCCCAATTCTGGAAACAAAGTCCTGCGTAACCTATGGAATGAGGAGATTACTCTGTCAAAGACATATTACATTTTTTCCATGATGCAAGGGTTCATCTCCAGGCAAATAGCACTTATCATAAGGCTCTTATCTACATAGTTATTCTGCTCAAGTATGGTAAACATCAACCAAAAGCGGCTATTTATATCCTTGCTCAACTCTAGCTCATGCCACAGTCCCATAGATCAAATAACATTGATCATAGGCATCAAACGATACTTTGTTATTGTGGCTCTTATTTTCCGAGATGGCGTTGAAAATCTCATGCTTATCTTTGTGCGTGTATGATTTCCCTGTTGACTCCGTTCTGCTTATCAGTTCCGAGAGAGAAAGAAAGAGTTTCTTGTCTCCTCTGCTCAGACATCATCAACCTTGTTTTTATGGGTCTCATGACGATTTTTTCTAGAGTCACAAGTCTGTTTGATGCCTTTTCTGGTTAGTTGTGAAACAGGGAATGGGGAGGGAGTGTGTTGATATGGAATGTTGCGTCAGATTTTCGCCCAAGCGCTGGTCTTTGTTTGCAGCAGTGCGGAGAAGTTTATGGTAGATGAGTCAATAAATTTGAAGTATTGCTCGGCAAACACAAGCTGGGAAGATTCTCTCGAAAACTGAAGGAAAGAAGGGGAAAAATCTGAGGATTGACACCCGAAGAAGAAAAAAGTTTTGGTTAGATAGTCGCCAATGATTCGAGCAATTTTTCGAATAGACTCTTCTCAAAATAAGTATTGGAGGAAGATTCTTTCTGAAGCCCATGATTTTCTTCTTCTAAACAACTTTCGTAGTTAATCGGAGCAAAAAATTTTTCAGATCTTTTGCCAAAAAAGCGTAGAACTGCGCTGGAAATCGCCATTAGAAAATAACAACGTTTTTGTCAATAATGAAATGTTTTCACTTTTGTTGCAGGAGAAGAAACTTTTAGATACCTGAAACTTCTGGAGAAGTGATCTAGAATCTTATCATCATTTATTCGAAAGTCAGTTATCAATTAAGCAACTGGAGAGGGCTTACAAAGACCGTTTTGCTGAATTGACCTCTCATAGCACATTACGTAATCTTCATCTATTATCAAGAATTAAAATTATTTTCAAAGACTTAGAATTCCCAACCAGGCACTATTAGGGCCTCTCATGATGGTATACATGAGAAAAAAAGAGCCTTTGCTGTTAAGACATCTGCCCATAAATTAGCGCGGGAACACTTGATTTTTCGTTAACCCTTCCTACACCCAGAGGAGCTTGCGAACTAGTAGAAGATTCAGGTATAAGAACATTCAGGTATAAAAACAGATCTTTATGGTGACCACAATCTTAATATGAAAAACAAACTTCACATGTCCAAAATTGCTCATCACATGTAGTACTCGTGATTATACCATGAACATGAATCATCATTAGCACTTTTATAGAATGAGTCATTCCAGAGAAGACGATCCTATGGATCCATCGTCCAGTGAACTTCTGGTTGTTGATGACGAGGTTGGTCCTTGCAAAGGATATTTTTATCTTTTGCCTTAGAGCATGAATTTTTTTTGCTTGATATAGTCGTAAAATCAGCTGATATATTTCAGACTGCACGCCAACGGGCCCTGTCAATGTCGATGGATATTTCCGAAGCCCCGAGCGACGACGCTCTAACGAAACCAAGAGCATTCACCTTATAAAGTCTTTGTGGTGCTTATCCATTACATTTTGCCCGACGTGTGCATAATCAGAATATTGTGCAATATGTATTTAAGCTTTATGGTGTCTATTATAACCCGTGCCAGATGTCACACCGTGTACTAATCCTCCTTATACCATAACAGAGTATCTCTTGCATGTCTTTCGAAACTTACTAATGATTCAATCAGTACCGTGAAATAAAGTTATATATTATCAAAGGGTGAGGTTCAAAATTTAATCAAGAATACCATGCCATTTCAAACAGGCCGAACAGTTTGGCAATGCAAATTCGCATCAAATTTCGGTTGGTAGCTTGGTATTAGCTGTTAGGAAACTTTGTTAAAAAGTGTCTTCACCAAGAAATTTCGAAGCAACATCTTCAATCAAAGCTTTCTTATTGCGTTCATCCTGATTCGACCAAAACACTGCTCTTAATCTCCAAACGCCCATCCTAGACCTCAGTTAGGTTTTCCCATTTACATACTGCATTTTATTCTTCAACCAACCATCATGCACTGATAATATCTTTATTTCAATAACTTCTACCCTTCAGCATTATTCTCACTAAGTTTGCTCAAGAACAAAAGGCGTGAATCTAAAATGATAAAGAAGTAAACGTTTGTGGTAATTTATATTCTTTTGTCTTCAAATCTAAGCTTGTTTCGTATGTGCCAGTAATGAATTGTGCCAGCCAGGTTCCTTGGTGGATATACTTTATTAGACTGACACATGTTTATGGTAAATTTGTAGCTAAGTGCAGACTAGGGTGGTAATCTCAACACAAGTTTCTAAATGGTAACTATGAATTCACAATGGACAGAGTGTCCCACTGTTTTTTACGGATCATGTGGACAGACATCTCGTCAAATGAGCAGTACCGTTAAGAAATGTTCATTGGCTCGTGCTTACGTCAATCTAGAAGCTGTTAAACACACTCTTTCGTCAAAAAATGGGGAGGCCTATTGTCCCCATTTTTAGAAATGCTTAATGCTTTTTGGAGATAGGAATGGGTAGCTGAGTTCTTTGCAAGCTAGCTGACTTGGATGGCACGTTTTACAAGGGGATGGATGACTGCGTTATTGCTAGATCTTGCAAAATTTGTTCATTCTGCGCACATGAAAGCATTACCTATTAGAAATTTATTGACCTCGTCTTTGTAGTGTTTGTGTTTCGAAAGTGTAGAATTGCACTTGGAATGAGCGAGCAGGGGTTCTGTCATATAAATTAGTTAGTAACCTGCACGTGATCCATTGTCTGCCGAATACTGAGCATGTGAGAGTTATGGGAAACTATAGTAAACAAATCAAGGGCCATATAAGGGCAAAATACAAGTTGTTGTTGAATGAAATTTGTTCAAAGGGAGGGGGTTTTCGATATGCCGACTACGAAGTAATATTAAGTTCTGGCCCTTTTTTGTGAATTACGGTAGTCCGATCTTTATGACTCGACTAGCTGGCATACACGGCTCCGTCCGACCTTGTCAAAATGCTATGTCAAGGGTCACCATTCTTATTCCTATACAGCCTTTTCCTGGCCCACTTCTAATGCTCATTTACGTTCTTGTAATCAGCATGCCCACTTACCCATCTGTGCTCCCTCCCAGCCACGTAGCTGAAACTTTGCAAAAAAATAGATAGGTTGAAAGTACTAGATATTTTGAAAGTTGATACTGTATTCGAATCAGTATGTTTACTTACCCCTCCGAAAACTCCTAGCCTCATAACTCAAACGTTGCAAAAAATCGATAAAAATCGATAAATATCGATATCGATCGACAATGAAATGTGGACTACGACACCAGCCCCGCCCCCACTTTTATGTGTAAAATTTGTTCCTGATCGGTCCAGAAATGGGATTTTCTATTCGCAACATAAGTACAGACATACATACAGACATACAGACATACAAATCGGCATTTATCTTTACTAACAAAAATTTTTTAAATAGCAATTAACATTCGTACTCAACAGGTCAAACTAACCTATTTGTGAGGTCTTGTAAATTCTGACATTCCAACCTTTTAGCATCAATGACTTTCCGAAACAGCGTTGGCTCATCGGGTTCATTCGAGTTTTCAAATGCGGGAAGTCGATTTGCATCAATCATCATTTTCCTTTCAAGGCAGCATCCACCCAGATTCGCCTCCGTTTTTGCCATTCTGAGACCTTTCCGTGGCCCTGATTACAGTTTGAGATTCAAATTGTTTAAAACTCCAAAACTCCGAAATGTGGACCCTGTATTGAGGGTGCGCACAAATTTCGAATTGCTCGTCCCCGTCGGAGTTAGCGGGGAGAAGTTGCGCTGTAGGGTTTGCTGCTACTTCAACAACTGTTTCTGCTCACGACTACGCTAATATGTGTGGAGAAAGTCCGCGACTGAGGGGAGCTCAATACGATCGAGGGGCGAGGTGGGGCTTTGGGGGAGGAAGAGAAGGGCTTTTTAAATTTCGCTGTTCCGGGTCCATTATCTTCATCTAAAGGCAACATTACAGGATTTGACCACGCAGATGTCCCTCCTCCTGGCGCCTACATTCAGAATCGGCACTAATCGGAGGGGGTTAGATTAGCCTGGACGCAGCCTTGGAGGCAGTGTCTGGGCTAAAAGTCGATTTTGGGATTTTGTGCTTACCCATGCAAATTCATTGTGCTGTATAAGAAAACTCACACTGAGAAGGCGAATACGGCGAAAAGGGCTTCAACGCAGGAGGAAAGCAGCAGGTGGGCGGGGTCTTCCTCACTGTGAATTCACGCTGCCAGTTTCCGGAGCGATCTTCTCGCGCTAGCCCATGGGTTGTGCCATGAATCCATGCGAAATACGATCTCGGGGCCCAGTTTCGAGGCGAATGTCTCAGCCATTGAAGCACTACCTAAGCTGCCGCTCGGGCGTGGCTTAGTTAGGACCCCAAAATTACGATGCACATAAGAGCCCCATGTGTCCGGGTGGCGGTCAAGATGAACGATAGCATGTGCCAGCCGCCAGCTGGGTACTGTACGCGGTGCGCTGATCGCTCCGCCCCCTTGTTAATTAGCCTAGGAATGCGTTGCGCGGGTGGCGGTCAAGATGAACGATAGCATGTGCCAGCCGCCAGCTGGGTACTGTACGCGGTGCGCTGATCGCTCCGCCGCCTTGTTAATTAGCCTAGGAATGCGTTGCGCTATTGGAAAACTCTCTAATACTTCGTTCATGCTTCTGCAGTTGGTTGCAATTTGGGTAACAGTAGATTTCAAAATTTCAATTAAACTGAAAATCAGTTTTCAGATCATTTTCCATTATAGATTAGTTCGCAAGCTCTTTTTAATGTCTTTCAATTATTTGTTCCTAGTAGGCTTGTTCAAAATGATTTTTCATTGCAGGTATGAAAAAATTGTTTCGAAAATGCTTGAAAAAGTGTTTTTCTCCACTCATATTTGTCACCATATTGAATATGCTTTGTTGTGCACTCTCAAGTTTAGTTCAAAAAGAAGTCAGCTTATCGAGAAATACTATTATTATTGCTCAAATGACCAACACCATTAATTTACAAAACTAAGCTAGTTAGTTAAAACTAAGTAAGTTACAAAACCCTAATCATAGCTAAAAACAGATTTCATTGCGACGAGAATTCAAAACAAGCATTATAGCCGAATTTTGTTTTGAGCAAACTAACTCGTTTTGCAAATATGCGGTCATATCACATGAATTTTCTCAGATTTCAGGACAATCATACTGCACTTATATATTTTCGAATCTGCTTTGAATAACAAAATTCTTTCAATTTGCTTCCAAAAACTGCTATCCTCAGTATAAATCGATCTGTAACAATCGAAATTGCGTGCGAACTAGTCATAAGATGTGAGGTCACTCAGACAATCATGCCTGAGGTGTTCTAGATTGATTTCACACTTCAAAGTTGGATATCCAGGAGTCACTCGGTCATTCATAGGTAAATCAGCAAATCTATCGAATTTCACGATCAACACATCAGCTATTCATTGATTGCCAAAAAAGAAAAGAAAATCAAAACAAATTCTGTAAATAGTCAAGCTTCACCGCAGCTTGCAACAAGCTTGTATCTCACCATCAAAATTTATTTTTACTTGACGGTATCGTCCGAGAAACTCGTCCGCCGCAGTAGGGCGGATCTTCGAGCGAACACGTTATTGCCAGTTCATGACCCCGCGCTCCACTAGTACCAGCTATCGTTCACCTTGACATATACCCCATGTGTCCAGATTTGCCTGGACGCTGCCTTCAAATGATGTATTCAGCGTATTCGATATGGAGTGCCGGTGACAGCGTTCTAAGAGCAGAAGGTGGAACAACCCTAACTAGGGGAGAAAAATTCCTACATTCATAGAGTGTGAGGTTGCCTGCCACGTCGTTTAGTTACGCATGTCATTGCCACACTTCGGTTTACATACCCGCAGTTTGACGGCACAAGACAAATCAACAATGTATGCCAGAAGTACATAGGCGACCAGATGAAATCGCCGCCGTCTTTATTTATCTATGTCAAGGGCTGTACTGTTGTTAAATCACCTGCCTCGCCCATCGTTGCTCTATTAAAACATCATGCATACAGTAATGAAGAGCGCATAAAGGTTTACGTTTGGAATTCCTATGCCAAAAAGTACATGGCCGGTCTGTATACATGACTAAAACATATAAAAGCAAGGCATCCTCTAAGCAGCACAAAAAATCGTTCATCTTTCCTTTGTTGTTATAATTTATGGATTACATTCATAGCAGTATCGTTATTGAATCCCAAAATTAGACTCTATAGACAGATCAAGTTATGCTTCTATAGAGAGCACATTGTAGCTATTGGAAATTTGCAGCAGAACCATTCTGATTTTGTTTTTTCAAGATCACAAACCGTTGCGACCATAATTTCTAGAAGAAAATTTCAGTGAAATCTTTGATCACGATGAAATTGGCCTTACCACCTGAGTGCTTTCGCTTACGTAACGCGTCCCCCTTGTTCTTCTTTCAATACACGCTCCCGAAAAATTTTAAAAAGCTTATTTGAATTTTCAAAGAATTTTGGAAATTGTTTCAATTATTTTCAAGTATAAGCAATCATTTGCACATTTTTATAACTCATTTCAGTAAGTTCCAAAAATTTCGCAAGCCATTCCCGGGGGGGGGGGGGGGGCTCGGACCGCCACCGATACTAATAATAAGTGCTAATACTCTTAATCAACTATTGAGATTGTCAGATTTTATTTTGCCATATCAA